GGGATTTTTTTTTTTTTTTGCGGGTTCGCCTAATTTTTGCAGTGCTTATCTGAAACAGCGAGACTCCTTCATGCAGCACCAGAACCGCAGTTTGGCCCAGAAACACTTAAGAAGTCTCCATATAATATCTCCACACCTTCAGCAGATCAAAACAAGTATTTAAACTGTACTCATGCTTCAAAGTGTCTCCTTTCACTGTATGATTGCATAATGGTTTGATAAAAAAAAAAATGTAACCAGAGCAATTTGACAAAACTGGGACAAAGGTCTGCTGATGGCCATTAGGTTTTTTAGGACAGCAGCTCAACCGTGCATTAAGTGGTGAGGAGAGCTTTGGAGTGTAACCTGATAAATGCACTTAAAACAGTGAAGATGGACAATGAGAGGGCGAAATCTCAGATGGCCTGGTCTGTGTGCCTGCTAGGCACTTTGACAGCCTATTGATCAGCCAAAGAGAGTCTTGGGCAGGGTCAGAGGTGTGAGGATGCACGGCTCAGATACTGCTAGTGGGACAGGTAACCGGGATCCATTAGGAAACGGATCTACTCTTTGAGCCAATTGTCCTTTTTCGTGGCGTTCACGGTTTCTCCTGCCGAATATTCTTCTCCACAACAACAACACAGCAAACCGTCTGCCTTTTCAAATTGACGTAACGTTTCTGTCTGGGACATTGATAGCCCACGGTTGTGAAAATGCCCAGCTCCTGTTATTGAATAGTAATAGGCTTGTCGGCCGGTGCCTCCAATTTCACAAATGGAGCAATAAATACACATAACAGAATCAGTGGAACAATAAGAATGGCCATAAAGAATAGTTGCGCCTCCAAAAAAAAAAAAAAACACAAGGAGGAGGCGAGCGGAGACGGAGGGGAGGGTCAAAAGAAAATTTGACAAAGGAAAAAGAAAAGTGTGCGTATATGTGAGACAGAAACAAGGAGAGAGAGAGAGAGAGAGGGAGAGAGAAAGATGGTGGCCCACTCTTCATTTCTGTGCCACAAGCTCTCCTGGGCATTTACGTGCTCCGTTTTCAACCTAAGTGTAATTTGAGCCCTGGGTTGATACAAAGTGTATGCAGCAGCTCTGTTCAAACCCAATCACTCACCCTGACGTGTAATCCTTTCCCTCACCATCATCAACGTTGCTTTGGGAATAATGAAACACACTTAAGCAATACACAGCAGTCATACAGCTGCGAGCGGGGCCGCATCTTGATGAGATGCCTCGTAACTCTAATGAAAGGTGTTTTGACCTGTCAATGGAGGTAAATGATTGCCTTGCTACTGTATCTGTGAGAAACTTATTGATGGCAATATCTGGTCCAACCGGGATGATTTGCATGAGAAATGAGGAGCGCGTTGCTTTTAAAAACACGGCCCGGCGTGACTGCTCCACTTTTTTTTTTTTGGTTTGTGCGGGTCTTTTTTCCATCCTCAATTTCATCTTGTTTCTTGCCTTGTGATGCCATTGTTTCCACATAGAGGATTATTACAATTAATTGGCTAGCAAGACATTATTTCAAAAAGGGAAATTGGCTCTTATAATTATATAGAGAAGGGAATACTTTAACTCCCTGGAATATCAGCTTCCTGAAATAATGGAGCTACAGCCCCTCACTTCCACCCACCACCCACCCACCCCACCTCCATCAGCGTTAGCGTGTCTGTCTGCCTGTTTCCTGTGACGGATCCATTTTCAACAGTTCCCGGCCCTGCAGCGGCTGCGGTTGATTGCTGGATGGTTGGGTGGCCTGCGTGAATCTCTCGCTGGCTTGCCTCGCTTACTGCCACCAATCTCTGGTCTTCTGGGAGCTCCAATCTGCTCTTTGTTCTGTCCCATCGCTGAACTTCCACTCAGTGTATCTGTGTGTGTGAGTGGCCATATCAGAATGGGGTATTTACACCGAGCGCGGGGCGGGGTTAGGCGAAGAGTTGGGTTAATAACTAAGTAGACACACTATACCGGTGGTACCCGTAAAGAGCAAGTGTGTGTATTATTAGCATGCTGATGCTTCACCCGCCTCACAGAGCTGCCGGCGTGGCTGTAGGCCTGGAGAGGCTGCTACTGTAAACACCGCTGTGCCGCTTTGAATACGATTCATAAAAGTTTTCCCCATTTTTTTTTTTTAGTCAGAACACAAAAGAATCACAGAGTTCAGTGAGTATTTAATTCATTGATCCTTTACCTTTTTGAAAATCAAAACATAAAAGTTACACAGATATTGGTGATTCAACGGTCAGATATCAATGTACACCATCGCCAAATGATATATTTCACACCATAAATACTCATAGCACAGAAGCAGGAAATCAGTCACCTGCCCCTGTCTGCAATTTGTCATCGAGGGACCAATTCTGACACACTGATGTTCATATAAACACATACCCGCTTAGTAACCAAAATGGGGGGGTCACACCCACTGATGGCCAAGTCGTATGGTCAACGTGAAGCATGCTTTACCTTTACAAACAGATCTATGAAGAATGACGGGGAGGAGGAGGAGGAGGAGGAGGAGGAGGAGGAGATCAGTAACTACAATTACAAATATTTTGGCAGGAGCACTGAGGGAGGAGAAAGAGGTTTTTTTTTTTTCTTCTGATAAAAACATGGATGGCTCAGGTATGTCACAGACGTGAAGATGATATAGAGCAGAAAGTGTTGAATCAGAGAAGTATTGACAATATGATAATGAGGTAGTAGTCAGCAGGGCGCTGCATACTTTATTTTCAATGGTATTTCGGCAACCTACTGTATTGATGCTGATATATTTACACACGTAGACACATCTCGTAATGTCGGACATGTTGTCTTTTTCCTTAACACAGTGTCATATTGCAAGGTAAAAATAATCAAAATCATTATGTTCCTTATGGCTGATCATCTTGGGCCGCTACAAAATTCTATCTGTAAAGATTTCTTGCAAAAGTTTTCATTTATACTGCACTTTTATTGAAAGAAGCACAAAAGTCTTTTATCAGTAGAGCAAATCAAATATAGTTCTGATATACAGGATACATGTTTCTGATTAGAGGGACGTAGAATATGTCACTTAGTAGCATACAAATTCTCCCAAGTCTAAGTAAAAGCATGCTTTTAGCATGGTTTCAGTCAGAATTGGTCCCTGTTGTATTGCACAACAGTAAAACAACTCAAGTTATAATGTCACCCTCTACAGTGGAGCTTGTTAACTGGACAGCGGCTAGTTTAAGTCGGGGAGCAGGAGCGGGAGTGGGTAGTCGCCCTCCATGACGTGGCCAATCAGGCTGCTGTATAAAAAGCCATGCCGGCCACTGGATCAGTGCGAGCCATTGATATCACAAGCATGGCGGCAACTCTACCCTACTGCAATGTCAGGGATTGCTTTGATCACAGTATCATATTGTTGTGACAGTGCCACAATTTATCACATCACATAAAATCCTGCAGCAGTATAAGCATTCGCCTGCAACACATTCTCTCTCACATGGAGACCAGTGGCACGGATCAGTTGGACCGGACTACAGTATTACTCACACCCAGTGTAATGGTCCTGCAGCTAAACACAGGGAGAAGGGAGCATGAGATCTTTCTCCCACCAGAGATCACACCTTGTACTGACACACTGTTGGGTTGCTGTTACCCTTTGGAGCATGCTGACACTTTGTTTCTTGCATAGCTATTCACATGTGCACGCTCGGGCATCCCGAGTTCTCCTCACAGATGCCTGCCTGCCCGCCTCCTGGCTGGTGGGAAGGGTGTTACTCTGCACTGGCCACTGTGTCAACATGAGGTCAAGAAGAAGTGTTCCACGTGTCTACTGTACTCCTGGCGCGAGGCAGCGCAGACAACAACCTCCCGCTGGGTTAAAAATAAACCCAGTGTGAAGTGCCACCACTCCGGCTCTGCACCTGCCATTTACCTCCGTTTGGTCGAAGCCCTATAAATGCAGGCACAGCTATTAAAAGACAGGAGGTGTCTAAAATGGTGAGAGCAGATGCTGGGCACCTTGCTCCCTGTGTGTGGGATGACTCTGCCACAGGCTTAAAGGGGCCCAAAATAGAGCGGTTGACATATGGGCCTCTGATTGTTTGAACGTGGAATCTCCTGGACTTCTGCCACTCGGCATAAATCCTTTGATACTGCCACACCAAACCCGCTGATTATCTTTCACCTGGCCTGAATCAGGTCATCTATTTGCATGTCAAGAGGCAATTTCCACAGGCTTAAACCAACGACCAAATCTGGTTTTCAGCGAGCAGCACCGAGACAAACCGCTTCAGAAGAGGAGAAACACAGCGGGTCAGTGGAGGGACTGAGACACTCACAGGCATGGTCTTTTAGCAACAGCAGCATTGAAAAGCACATGAAAGTTAACCCCCAACAGCTCCCTTTATTGCTGAGTTACTACAGAATAAGACGATTGACTATTGTACCTGCCTATGCTAGTTTGGTTAAACATGGGACCAGCAAGTCTTCCAGTCGGAGACAGATCCACAAAGATCACACGGCTTACTGCTCTGGAGAGGTATATCCAAGGACATTTAAACTGATAAGAGTTCACATTTAGGTAACACCTTTAGTTCTTTTTCTTTTCTTTTTTTTTTTTCCCAGGAGGAGAACAAGAGAAAATGGCCACCAAGTTCACCAGACTTTGAACTGTACACTCGGTCTTTCCAAATAATAAATATATACATATCCTGGTCAAGTCCAGGCAAAAACACAACTGTGAGACAAGTGAGTCTGTTGATGGATGTTGACACCTCTGCTGTCTTCAGAACAAAAAAAATTTTTAGGAACTTTTAGTTTTCTGAAAAAAGAATCTTCTTCATCTTGTTATCAAGATCTGGCAACTACTTATTCTGAAGACGCTGAGGGACAGAAGGGTCCTTCTTCATATACAGCATGACCACCGACAATTAACAAAAACCAAAAAAATTATTACTGTACATAGTATTTCTTATATATTTTAAATTAATCTGCATCATTTTTATATTTATACTAATAACCAAGTTTTGCATTTGTTTTTTTGTTTTTTTATGGAGTGTCCCAGGGTTCCAGGTAGAGGAGGAGTGAGGGAGGTCAGTCTCTGTCCTGCACACTCAGTGGGCGTCTCCCTCTCCTGAGAACCCTCGGCCTTGGTTCAAGTCACTTTCTGTATCAGTGATGCGGCCCTCCGCTGTCGCCGTGGCCCGTCAGCCTCCCTCCGATCAGACCTTGGCCTCCAGCATCTCCAGGAACAGTTTGTGCATGGGCACCTTGCCCTGCACCTTGATGCTGTAAAAGTGCTGCACAGCCTTAGTGGCCGTCTGCCTCAGCAGAGGCAGGGTCATGAGCAGTTTGCCAGCCCGCCGTGGGTCCTCCTGATGCTGGCTGCTCTCGTAGTCCTGCAGGGCCTCGTGGAGAGCGTCCTGAAGCTTCTGGACCGCCTCCATGTCCTCTATGTGCATGGAGTCTGACGGGACGAGAGCACACAGAGCAGCGTGAGAGATTGATGGATTTTCAAATTTGAAAAGGGGAAAAAAAAAAAAACTTGTAAGAAATGTAGTTTGCACTTTGAGACACTGGTAATATAACAGGAGTCGTGCGAAATGGATTTTTCTAAAACAAAATTAAATCTGGTGATTGATCTTTACTGCTCTGTCAGTAGCAGCAAGGTAAGAAACACATTACCAGCATAACTCAGCAGCTGACAAGATAAAGAATGGATCATAAAAAAGAAAAAAAAAAAAAGAAAAAAAAACAACATCTGCTTTATTTTATTTATATATTTATTCTTTGGCAGGCTGGGTGGGGTATTCATATGGCCCTTGACCACTGGGACCGAAAATCAATGTTATCCTGCAGTAACAATGGCATGAATAGCACCCAATCTCTGCTGAGTGAGTGCACGTTAAACACCTCACTGTTCCAAAGGACAGATTGTTTTCAAACACAAAAAAACAAAGAGAGAAAGAAAGGGGGGCTCCATTAGAGAATTGGACACCATAAACGAGCGTGAGTTGAATGCAACACTTGCTTTCAATTAATCTCCTTTCCTGTTCCCCTCAAAAAGGGACCATGAATGTAGACGGGAAACAAACCAGACAGATTCACCTGTGAGAGGACATTTTTTATACGTTCAAAAAGAAGAAAGGTATATTCTATTCTGAGCAACAACAACAAAAAAAACTGTGGCTCTCTCTCAGCTTCAGTCTGCCCAAATCTCTGCCATCCCGCCTCCCGGCCAGTTTTAGAGCAGTCTGCAGTTTCAGTCTGGCTTCCCTCCGGTGTTCCTCACTCCTATAACGTTTCGCTACAGTGCCAGCGTTTTTTACTGATCCCACTGTACATCATGTTACCACACTCCCCTCTAATTCTCGCCTTTTTTTTTTCCTGCCTCTGTTTCTGTCTCCCCTCCTCCACCACCACCAACCCTTCCTTCCTTCCCTCTCTCTCTCTCTCTCAGGGACAGTCCGGGGTCGCGCTTTCTCTCACTGGTTAACTGGCATCTGGCACTCCGGAGGCAGCATGTCATTGGCTGCCTGACTCGTCTCACCTTGGCGGTGCATATTTTACCACACGGGACAATAAAAGGCAAAACAGATTTCAGGCTTCGCCCCAAATTCATTGACTGGAACAACTGTATTCCCAAGACCTTGAGACATTTCTCACCCTGACGGTTTTCAAATCCACAGTGGTAAAATGAAGTAGGTCGTTTTGTAAAGTGAATGTGGGAGGATGAGGAGGAGGAGGTGGGGGGATGAGAGAGGGAAGATGGAAGAACAAAAGGCAAAAAAAAAAAAAATCTCAGATGAGGATGTGGTGTGACATAATTATCTCTTGTTCTTTTCACAGAGGCTGCATTCACATCCTAACAAGCTGCATTTTTTTTTTTTTTTTAACAAATCAAACCCGTGTTTTGTTCTATTTTTCACAAAAACACACACATGCACGCGGACATTTTTTTTTTTTTTTAGCAATAAACTGTGCTTTAATGGGATGTTTTGCAGCGAAAAGGGGGAGGAAAATAAAAAGAGGGATGGAGACATCTCAACAGATGGGAAGGAAAAGAGGGCAGGAGACAGCGAGGAGGAGGAGGGGTAGACTAAAAAAAAAAAAAAAAAAAAACAACTTTGAAGAAACAATTTCCTCGCAATCCATCAGTGAGCCCACGTCGATCCGATTGATAAACTGCTAATTACAAAATCAATCGCTATGAATTTTCACAGCTGTCAGACAGAGGGGCTCCCGGGAGAGTGATCTCCCAGAGACCTTGTTCTAACGTTCCGGACACCCTCCTCCTCCTCCTCTCTCCTCCTCCTCCTCCTCTCCCCTCCAAAGCTCTGTTGTCTGAAAGCAAAGTCCCACCATCAGCATTTTCATTTTTCAACACCCCGGACAAAACAAGGGAAAGCGGCCCGGTGACCCAGGCGCGCATTGATCAGAGCGGGACAGGTCCTGCCTCCTCAAAAGGCGCCTGTCAATAGCGGCGTGCCGTCTTCGCCATTGGAACAAACGAGGCCTATCACTCCCTGATACTCATTCCATTCGACTTAACACATTTTATTGACAGCCCCTGTGCTCCTAATGAAATGCTAAATTTATCTCCCGTGGCTGCTGTGCCCTGCAGCTACTGTTATGGAGAAAGAGGAGGGAGAGGCAGCGCCGGAGAAATACCACAACACGGAAGGTGTTCAATTAAAAAAGCTCTCTCCTCCTCCTCCTCCTCCATCCCTCTCTCTCTCTATCGTACTCTGGCCTTATCTTCCCTCCATCTCTCCATCTCACGCTCCAAACTAAAGGTTACGCTGGAAAACTCCTGAAAAACTAAGAAATGTCATTTGTGAAACTGTGTTAGACAAAACCTAGTTTCTGAATATGACGCTGCCCAGTGCGCATCCCTCAGAGGTCCAGTCAGGAGGAAGTGAAATATCCTGAGTGATACACGAGAGGAACATTTTTAACTCTAAAGCTTTAACTTCAGTGTACTTTTTATATAATGTCTGCATAAAAATGTTTTTCCATTTGCTAAATAAAACGCTACAAGCTTGATTCTTCTCTTCTGTGCGCTGGAGTTTTGGACTACATTTTTATTGCGAAAAAATATCACAACATATTTTAATTAACAGCAATATTTAACCTCATATATTCTACAAATTTTATTTGGAAAAAATGAGGGCAAATGAGTTTTTAAAAGAAAAAAAAATCAGCCATGGATTAAAAATAATCACATCATTAAAAAAAAAAAGAGACGCAGCAAAATTGTGGATTAAAATTTAGAATTCAATTTTATTTCCAAAAAATAATTTAGATATTGGGTTAATCAGAAGACTTTGTTAAATTAGAGTACTTCTGCTTTTTTTTTTTTTTTAACATAATGTATTATTATTATTCTCATATTCTGTGTTTTATGAATTAAATCATAAAATTCCTTCACTTGTAACGCCTAATTCTAATCAAAACGACCACAAAGTCGGCCGTTTATGACGCGTCGTTGACGACAACCCACCTGAGTTGGCGAGAGCGATGGCTTTGAGGGTTACGAACTCCTCCTTCTCCACTTTGAGCTTCTTGTATTTGCGGACCAGCTGCAGGATGGAGACGTAGAGGTCAAGCAGGCCCGTCAGCCGCGAGTGCTCCTCGTCCATGATGTAGTCCTCGGCGTACACCAGCTCGTCCTCGTACGGCAACGAGCGAAACACAATGCTGAGGATGAGGATCTCCATCCAGGCGCTCTGCAGTAGACTCATCTGGTCTCCCAGAGAGAGAGTAGAAAAGCCTGGACGGGAAGAGAGAGAAGCTGCATGACGACAGGATCACAACACGATGGGGGGAAAAAAAATAAATGGAGCAGAGAGTATATTTATAGACGTCTGTCACATCTAAAAAAAAAAAATAGGTGCATGTCTTTTACATGATTTAATAGAAGTATTGTTAATTAAAGAGTATTTAAAAAGTAAAAGAAAGTTTCCCAAAGCAGAAGGAAACCTGAAACCATGTGATCTCGGAGTTGATCAGTAAAACAAACATGCCTCGGTAGCCGGCGGTGCACGCCAAGGCACATGTTAGCGAGTGGTGTTTAATTTTAAATGCACAGTGGAAGGTCCTCTTTGAGGCCGGTGTCAGAGCACTTGAGTGGGCTTTACTGTAAGTGAGGACAGTAAATCGGTGCAAAGGTCCGGGATACACAAAGCCATGTGGTTACCCCTTGTATCCTGTCACTCTTCTATTGGTGTGAGGGGGATTAGCACCGAGACACATTCTCATTGGAGGGGTTGAGGACATGACATGCACTGTGTAACAGGAGGAGGTGACGAGGGGACGCGCACACACACACACACACAACACACACACACACACACACACACACACACGAACAGATACACAAACATGTGTCAACCAGGAAAACAAACAGACACATGTGCACAAGCGGATCGTGACATCTATATGTATGCACATAAATCCATACACATAAAAGCACACTGTGTCGGGGGGTCACATGGTTCAAGCCCAGCCCTGCAGACCAGCTTAAAACCAGGGCCACATTCTTCAGCAGCAGCTGGATGAGCTGAAATTGGCACGGGCGCATCAAACCGCTGTCATTTCCACTCCAACACCTCTACACATGCTCAGAATAGAACATTAAATAAAACAAACTGCTAGATCCCCCAAAGATGAGCTGTGAGAAATTCAAACACATTAAAAAAAAGGGTAAAGGCAAAGGGATAGAGGGACGAGGGAGCCAGGAGCAGACAGCCAAGATAGCCATCTCATCCCTTCTCCCTTCGTACTACCCTTTAGCTGTCAATAAACTGCATGAACCCCCCTCCATCGCTCCCCTTCCCCTCCGCCTCCCGCCTCCCCACCGCATGGCGTTCCTGCAGGCGGCTCATTCTGACAGCATATTAGGCTCTTCAGCTCCGCCCCTGATTAATATGATTGCTTTTACAAGTTTGCTGTTGCCACCCTGCCTGCCATTGTGTGATTAAGAGGCGATAGATTACAGTATTGACCAGGGCGCTCACCGCACCTACGCCCCGCGTTTTCTCTTAAATATAAATGATCTTACGAGGGTGCAGCCACCAGCCGGATGTTTATCTCCGGCTGCCAGGACGCCGCGAACACACATATACACGAGCAGCTCGAGAGGAATAAGAGACGTAATGAGGAAGCGTGAGAGAAAGTGGGGAAAAAACAGGACGGAGAGGGAGAGAAAAGAAGAGCCACGGAGAGTAGTACCTCAGTGTTCAATTTCCCTTATCGTGGTGATGACCACTGCAGGGGAAGAGCTGGAGGATACATTAATTAACAGATTGTGATCAGAATGTGAGGGCCTTCACATTTTGAAGGGGAATCAATAGTCAGTAGAATAGAGTGCTAACTGAAAGGTGCGAGTGCCCGGGTGGACCGGTCAGAGGTCTGAAGAGCCCAAATTAGACCCAACAAAGCAAACTGCCGAAAGCACTCAAAAACACTTGGCTATTATCGGTGAAGGCAATAAGCCATATTTCATAAAGGCCCCCCGTGCCATTACACGTATCCAGACGGCATCTTAAAATCCTTTGTTGTGTTATTTCCTTGTCTGCATACGTGGCCATTATGTCGGACAGAATGTGGACTGGCCGGAGAGAAATTGTCATGCAAGCGTGGACGTGTCTTGATTGCCGCATCAGGTTGGCATCGCAATCACAGGCGAGGCTTTGTGTAGCCTTTTAATGCCAAGGAGGACTGAAGCGGAACTAAAGCGCTGCTCCCGATATGACAGCCCCGTGTGAAGGCCTTGTTCAGGGCTTGTTGAAGTGGCTTTAGAGTTGTTCTGATACAACAGACACCTCTCAGCCATATGCACACATGCAGCCCAGCAGCCTGCAATTACCTTTGACGCTAAAAGTCCTTGAATTTAATCCAGTGTTGTGAGATGGAGAGGTAGTGTTTTTCCCCTGCTCCATCCCCTCTCTTCAGGGCCTAAATTATCGCTCCAAATGGGATCTCGTGTCGTTGCCTCGCCTTTTTCCACTCAATTTAATCGAGTAATGAAGTGACTTCCCGACTCCGCAGGTCACACGGCGCTCCGGCCGCCGCACTCTGAAGGTGGCCCGGTTAAGTGCCGTCGGAGTGGGTGATTTCCTCTAATGAAATATCAATATTTACATCTTCATTTCCAGCCCACTGCCTTGGCGGGGTTTGACCAAACATGACACAATATTGACCAAATCAGAGAGGCCTGTCTGTGCGCTTGAAGGGCCTTTTCCACTCCACTGCTGAGTGCACCGGCCGATTTCTGCCTCAAAGTCTTTGCAGTGGGAATGCAGGGGATGACAACAATGCAGCTCTTGAGTTTTTCTTTGTTTACTTTAGACTTAAGCTCAAACAGCGATTTGTGTTTCAAAAAAAAAAAAGTGACATATTTTATCCTGCAGGAGAAAATCAGTCCAACCGAGACAAAGGAACAAAGGTGATAATAAAGGAGCTACGGCACATAATCGTCCGCACCACCACTAATTCCATCATTAATAGCTCAAAGGGTGCAAACAAGACCAACAACAGAAGCCACAACCGTCATCTCTCCCTTCATTTCCCCCCCCAAAAGCCCTCGGCTGTGGGCAGGAGGGGGCAGCCCAAACCCACAGACGGCTGCTTCAAAACCCCTCGCAGAGATTAATCAGAGCACTGTTTCATCTGCCAGAGCACAGGACGGTCCAAAATGAAATGCTGGAGATTTCTGTTGAGCTGGAGTTCATATTCTATTAATTTATTATTGTTTCCCTCTCCCCGAGGGCCATTAGCGCGGGTAATAAAAAGAGATGTAATTACGAGGCACGGTGGCCCCCTCCAGCTGCAGCCCCCTCGTAACTCACCCTCAATCAGACAACAGAGCAGACAGAGGGAGAGGGAGAGAGAGAGGAAAAGGAAAGAGATGGCAAGAGGGAGAGAGAGAGGCAGAGAAATGGGGGATAAAAGAGAGGAGAAGATATGGGCCAGAGAGGAGGGAGATAAGGAAGAGAGAGAGAGAGGAGAGAGGACCGAAGCATGAGGGAAAAGGAAAAGGGAGATAGAAAGAGGAAAGAGAGTAATTCTGGCTGGACAGGGGCTGATCTATCATGGCCAGCTATCAGAAGGACAAGCAGGCCCTGAAGACTTCTGCCCAGCGGCAATCTCACCTCAGCCAAGTCAAGTGCTCTCCGGGCTCCAGTTGGAGTAAAACTGCCCCTAACAGGACCCCAGAGGTTGAGGACGTCTTTTTTTTTTTTTTTTCTAACCTCAAACCGGGCTGAATGATCATGCTGCCATAAGCTTATTATATATCAAAGCTTCTTCTTCTTTTTTTATTTCAAATGGCAGTTTAAAAGAAAAAAAAAGAGAGGACAAAGGAGAAAAAAAAAGAAGTAAGCACCTCTGATTTGTATAGAGATGTACAACCGGTGCAGAAATCTTTGAGCGGTTTCGTGCAGGTCGGCATGTGTGCAGCGACCTGCAGCTGCCGACCGTGATTCTTCTTGAATTTACATGACAGCATCAGGAGGATCCAATCAATAGCAGCTTGGTAATAAATTGCTGCGCTTGACATAAATAATGTGACCTGAAATCCAGCCACATGTAACAACACAAACAGCTCAGTTCGCTGCGAGCTTTTCCCCTGGACGTTAAATTGACGATGCAACGTTTTTTGTTTTTTTTTTATATTGAGCAAAATCATGTCAATAGAAACTAAATCGACTCGGCGGAGAAGAGGCTGATGACTGAAAATTAATCGCTCCGGCGCTCGCTTTCAGGAGACCCGGCTATCTGCCTTCTTTCGACGTGATAACCAGCCCATTATTCCGCCGCCGGTAGCTGGAGAATGGGCGATTTGACCAGTAGCCTGTGAACGTTATGAGATTGGAGAACGTTAAATACAGTAATCCCCTTGTTTTAATCTGCACCCTATGACCTCGTGACCCGAGCGGAGAAGTGGTTAGCCCTTCCCCAGGGTCCCACCGGCCAATACCGACTTTACATATCTCTGTTTGGTCCCGAAGACCAGGACGAATCAGGCTTTAATCACTGCCATAATTACACATAATTTATCTTCGCTGCCATCAAGTAACATTGCTTAATGAGGGATGGCGCTCTGCTGACGATCACTTAAAGGCACATCAGCACATAAGATCTCACACCGAGATAAATTCTTCACAGACGCTGTAATTTAAGAATTTCGACTAATTTTATAGCGATCATGTGCCAACGCGTAATTGTAATGCTGGATTTACCTGTTCATGTGTCACAATAACTAAACAAAGCCCTCCCCCAACCTGCCTGGCAGATGTCCCCCCTTTTTCCTGGCCCTGCATACTCCTGGCTGCCTATCTGCCTCCGACTTACCCCCCATCTCAATCTCCCTGCAGCTTTTCCGCCTTCCTCCCACTCTCCTGCCCGGGTTCAGGCCTCAGCATCCACCTGATTGCTCAATCTATCTTTATCTCCTGTGTTGAAGCCTACGTCAGAGGGTAAATTGAATATACTAAGAGCTGTCTGTTGGTGTCTATATTTAATAAAGTGCACTGATGAGGTGCTGATTTATTGCCGGGCAGTATTCACACTCTATTACAAGGAGATTACGCAGCTTGAGTGGGATCAGGCTGGCAACACAGTAAGTAGATTTCACAATTTAATGGCAAAGAGAAAACAGGAGCCCGGAGGGGGCTGGAGGAGGGTGGGTGATTATGGTGGAGGGTTGAGCTGACACAAACACGACTACATACAAGAGGCGTGATCTCTTTTTCGACATCGCTGCCTCCATGCTAACAACCAACGCGCCAGGCAGTTGTCTGTCAAACGCGGAGCTGATGAGCGGGAATCCAATAAAGCGGCAGATGATGAATATTCCCAAAACGCCGGAGATGAACAGAACAATGCAAACGAGCCTGATTCATTAGACCCTCCTGACCTGGATCTGATACTGCAGCATGATGTAATGATGTTAGAATCAATGCTGTCAAAAATGGACTTAAGTAGTAAACATTTTTCTGAGTGCTATAAATTCTACGGGTGACATGCCGGAGCAAAAATATTTTTTATTGTGCAGCGGCGACGGCAGAGTGTCAATGTTTGCATGGCCCTTCAGCCTTAAGAGAATTCCCAGCTGAAAACACTCCGGGAAGCCGGGACGGGAACACAAAACAACGAGCGCCTCTTGTATAAACAGAATGCATGGCGGTTTTTACATATGAACGCATGACATTCCCTCAGCGGGTGGGAAGGGTGGTGTGGGATGGCGCAGGGCTACAGGGGTCACGCTAGTACCCCACCGCTCACACACAAGGCAGCGGTGTCAGAGCGGTAAACAGGTCTTAGTGCACAGAAGCTGTCAGTATACTTAGTTCCTCCCTAAACCTCTTGGACGGGGTAAAACGCAGCTTTACATGATGGAAGGGGGCCAGGAGGGGTGGACAGTGGACCGCTATGTGTGTCAAAGGTTGTTAGCACCTTAGGAGCAACAAGCCATCTGTCAGCATCCCCCTAACGCTGTTCCTAATGACCCCGCACCCCTCAGGCAGCGGCTCTGCTTGGCGGTGCTATTTGGAGCAGTGACACTAGTGTCCAGTGATGATCAATTAATCAAAGGCAGATTCAGAATGAGGGCAAGGCTGCAGTCTGGCAACAGCAAACCCGTGAAAAAAAAAAAACAATATTGATATGGTGACACCAGCCCGGTCTGATTGATTTAAATGCATTCATCATCCACCTGAAATAGCAGGAGAAGCTCCGCAACACCTGAAAAGCACTTTGTGAATGTAAACCGACCTTTCACGAGCGAAATATCAAAGTTGACATTGGACCCTGTAAGGCAAAGATATCATCTACGCTAATGATACAGCTTTGTTATCCTCCAATCGCCCTCCCATTAAAACTCAATAGGGCCACTCTTCTCTACATTATGCCACTTTTGAAACGCACTTTCAAATGTTAGCTGAGAATAGGAGGAATTAAAAATCAATTGGGAGAAGGTAAGTGCCAATTTTCGTGACATTTAGATTGTTACATTTGGACTTTAGCTACTAGCCCATCTGTCAATGGCCTAATCAATGTGCTCTACTTCATAATGAACTGTTAATCTTTTTAATTCCATTGCCCAAGGCCACAAAAATCTATCAGAATACAATCAGCATTTTTTTTCCCCCCCTCCACTTTCCGTTCTTGTCCTGTAGTGGATGGATGGAGGGGGAGAAATGTAGTAGGAGCTGAGCATGGTAGGCTGCCCTGGGGTACCGTTGGTGCATGGAGTGTTAGTGCATGGAGTCTCGCTCAACCAGTGAACCGTCTCTGATCAGGTTCAGCCATGTACAACTCAATTATGCAGCCATTTCATGGCCAGAGGACACCCACTGTCCTAATACAGACACCACCAAAGGGACAGGCACAGACCAAGCACTCAGCTGAAGAGGAAGTCTTTTTTTTTTCCAGTTAGATTGTCATTTAATCTCAAAACAATACGTGAGATTTTCCAACAAAGAAAAAAAAAAATTAAAAAGTGAGCAAAAATGAAACCAAAGCGCACGTGTGAGTGTGTGTTTATACAGAAGGAGATCAGCATAATCTACTTAAACGCTATCATCTCGCAGGTAGTGCAAATTGTTTAGTGCAGCATTTCAGTTCCAGGTATTTGCGCACACTTAGAACAGACACTCAGGCTTATACTGCCTCGGGTTTCGGGTTAAATGATCATTATCGACACATTTGGAATGACAAGCCCTTTGCCGCAATCTGTGGGGCAAATCCCATTAACATTATGAATCTATCCACTGTACAATACGTATAAGTATAATCTGATTAACAGAGCTTCAGCAGCATGACACACAAAATCCGAGTTAGCGTGTACACATATTAAAACGATGATGCAATTCAGGATGTGAGATAAAGCCCTTAGCACTTAACACAGTATAAAATAAGTTGTAAACTTGAAGGGTACGATTTATTTAAAGAAAAATCTCAAATCTGAGTCTAAGCAATACACGAGTACAGTTGTGCACCCTCCTTTACTCTTTCTAAATACATGTGTGCCTCAGTGAATGACGCCTGTTCAGTCTATATTCAGCAGTCAGCATGGGAATGTTGTCGTTTTTGCGCACGTCTGTGGCGCTGGTGTAATTTTTGGGTCACAACGATGAGAGTGTGTTATCGGGTCAGCTGTGATCCAGTCCTGACTAAGCTCCTTGGTTAAACTCTCAGTCTGCTGACCATGCATGGCCTGCGGGGAGTGATCCAAACAGTTTAGACGCGTAAGGGACCGGGGCTGAGGCCAGGGACTGGGAGCATATCCATCTCTAATCTCCTTACTATCAGATCTGTACCTGATTAATACCCCTCCTTCTGAGAAGTACTCTAATACCTTTTCGGTACAAAATGCACCTGCACGAGGTCAGCTGGAGTTCATTTCACTTTACTGAAAATAAATAAATCCTATAAATCTGGAAATTGGGATATAAATATATCTTCTTAATTGACTGATATAATACCAAAGTATTCACACACTTTTCTGTATGTTTGTGTGTCTGTGTGAGTGTGAGAGAGGCAGATTGTGCATGTGTGTGTGTCAGTCAGTGTTATAGCGATGCTGCACAGCTCCTGCGTGCTGACAGCTGTGTGCCTGTCCAAGTTATTCTGATGAGAAGAAATAGGTTATTGAGTTGCCGCTGAGGGACACATTTATTTAGTTTGTTACCCTTCCATGCCTACAGCACTGTAATGTTATAGAGTTATAGGGGTCAAGCGGGAGATCAAGGAGAATCTGCCTTGGTTGCAAAAAAAAAGAGCACCTAAACAACATGTTCTCTGTCAAAATCAGAGGAAAACTCTTGCAGGAAGCAAAATCTCTGCTGACGTGAGGCGGTGTATCCTTAATTCAACCGCCTCTTATAACCTAACACCTCGTCTATCAGAACGTCTATGGGGCGAGGAAGAAACATGATTATGCCCATCAATAATTCAATGTATGTGTGTGCTTGCGCTTGTGTGCGTTCATGTGTGCACATGTGTGTGTCTGTGTGTGATATGATGTCTTGTTTGATTGGGCAGGTCCCCAACTTTGCTCTAAATCTCCCTGGTGATTACAACATACATTTGGCACTGGGTCTGCGTCCCCCTCTCCATTCAATGCAGGGATTTTAGATGCACTCTATTGATTTGTTTCTTGCACAGCTATGTCCACTTTGCACCCCCCCCCTCAATCCTCCACATACCCCGAGGCTGTATGAGCTGCTGTCATTAATTATCTACGTGTGCGTGCATGTTTATTTTCAGTGTGAGTGAGACGGGAGAAGGAAGATGAAAAGAGGAAAATAAAAACGAGTTAAAAAAAAAAAAAGGCTTGAAAAATTGAGGAAGAAAAGGGAGCAAAATAAAAAAAAGTTTCTCTACCTGGGATGTGTTTAGCCCAGCCGATGATGACCACCAGCTCGCGGTCAGCCAGGTCACACAGCGTGGTCAGAGCCTTGATGTCGCTCTCCGGCATGGTGGGGTCAGGCATGGCATAGATCTTCTCTGGCTCGGCCACCAACAGGTGAGACACTATCTTTGTGACTGAGGGAAGAGGAGGGACAAGGGGAATGTCAAAGGAAAGCGGAGGTCAAGGGTCGTATAACACTGCAAAGCTCAGGGAGGCACAAAGATGCACGACACTGATAAGCATGATGACATGATAACCGCAGCAGACCGGTGGCCTCCCTTTTGTTTTCTTTCTTTTTTTCATTAAGCAAAATTATAAATGGAACTTGAATTCGTGCAGCTGAGAAACTTGCATTGCGTGAGAACGTGAGCGTCCTCGAGCGCTGTTTTAATGTCGGTCATCTGCTCAGAGACTAATTCAGCTCTGACCGAAACAATACGCGACCTACATTTTCTGACCGACGAACTCTCAACCGTCCAAACAAGGCAGAGGCAAGGGAACGCGAGTCTGGCCTAGAATCTCTCCTCAGTTTTACCTGCTCGTTGGCCCGGCAGAGGAGGGGCGACGGAGCAGGGAGACAATGGGCTAGTGACGGAGCGGTACTCACGAGGCTTTTTGGTGGGAGGCGGGAGCGTCAAGCCCAGGTAGGGGTTGTTTTCTGCGTCCAACCTCCGCTTGTACTTCTGTCTGCCCCCACGCACGCGGTCCAGACGAACCCCTGGAGTAGAAAAGACAAGGAGGGACGCGGGATGAAGATGAGAGCGTAACTTTTCCGGGATTCAAGGGATATCAAATGCATGAAAATTAATTAACAAAGCTATAAGGATTCATATAAAGTAAAAGAAATACAACAAAAACGCAGGCAGATGATCCAAAATTACACCCGAACATAACATGCATCATGTGTGAGCCACCGCGCTGGCCTCTAAGCTTGTATGCAAGCATTATAAAAGGACTGCATGGAGGCATAAGTGTGTGTCAGTGTGTGTGAGCCTCCTGCATTCCAGTGTGTATGCTGGATGTGTCAGAGGCGCGGCTGCCTTCCCATATGTGGTCCATGCCTGGCTGGTCTACTGTGACACAGCTGAGCCCAGAGCAGGTCTAAACATATGAATATTTAACGCAGGGTCAATGATCTCACAGACTGGCCCTCTAATTATTTAGCTTTTCGGGTGAGGCAGACTGCATACTAATTAGCTGCCAGCCTCTTTGTTTGTGTGTGTGTGTGTGGGAGCTCAGGTGTGTGCTCTTCAACGTCCAGAAACAGAAACTTAACCAGCGTACAAGCAAAGACATAGTCACACATACAATGTAAAAAAAAAAAAAAAGCATCCGCTGTCATACTGCAGATAGATACCCAGGTATTGCTTTCCCATAAAAGACCCTTATTTCACCCCTCTTTCACCGGAGCAGCACCGAGGCCTTATCACCCCGAGCCACACCTAGGAGGCCAGGTTCCACACTGATACTGTAAATGTCAAGGCGGCCTCATCATAACATAAGTTATTTATTATCTCATTATTTGATAAGAATGCTTCCATTTGGATGTCTTTTTTTTTATTCTATTAATTTTCAACATTGTTAACATATTTCATCTACGCCGTTCTATTCATTTGATACCACCGGGCAGGTATTTGGTTATTTAATGTAATTATATGCAAACATTTATATCCCGCATCCCCATATTTGGAATAGCGTGTCGCTGCTGCCCGTACAGGCTAAATATACCTGATATCTTAATCCTGTCAAGAGGGAGAATCCCTTCAATTTACCTTGTATGCATAATGTAACCCCCCCACCCAAACAAATTTAATACTAAAGGTTGGATGAGAAAAGGTTCAATGAAACGCTTGTGGTGGAGGAGGAGTTAATTTGTCAGCCTCCCTACGTCCTCTGAGCGAACAACACCCGCAGCCAGAGCACTTCCTTGATGATTTCATCACTTTATAACAGGGAGGACGGTGTCAAACCTGGGCATTGTGTGGCCACTGCAAATGAGCCTAATACAATTTGCCCATCAGCAAGTGCTCTTGGAGAGGATGAGTTTGGATGTGTCCCATGCACGGTGATTGGAGGTCGCTCGCTTGAACGGCGGGGGGGGGGAAGGAAAATCAGATGATGTAGGATAGAAGCAGTGGCCTTCATTTAACAAAGAGGAATTCAACAGCGGATTTATGCAAAATATCTTCTTGATTTTCGCAGCTTATCTTACGTGGCCGCAGCCCCGCTTCCCCTCGCTCGGCGCGTGGAGGGGAGGGTCCAGTAAAATGTATTATCATGTAACTGCAGAATAGAGATTTCTTCTACTTATATAAATTATTTGATTCCCTAGAAACACAAATCTGATTAGGATTGTCTTTCAATTTCCTGACACTGACAACCTACTAACCTAATTACCCCCAATTCCCAACAGAGCCTCATCTTTCCCAGCAAGAAGCAGGGAATCATCTGACTCCGACTACCTGTGCTTTACGCGCACAGACACACAGTGACTATTTCGTTTTTACGTGCGTCATATCGAGAAACGGATCCAGGTGGTGTCGATCAGGGGTCTCGATTAGCCTTCAAACATGCTCCATTTGCAGCTCGGGTTTAAGTGCTTAAAAACTTTCCACTTCGAGCTGAGATTATTGCGGCCATGGAAAATTCCTCTCATTGTCAAACGTGATGTCACCACTTTCTACAGTTTCTTCCGGCTCTCCCGATGAGCTCGGCGGCTGCCAGGTGGCCACGCTTCTGCTCTCCATGTTCCTCTCTGCCGGTTGAGTCATGTGGCTGTGGCAGCCAGCGATGAAGGTAGATGGGTGCCTCTTTTAATTAGAACAGTCCTGGCCATAATTAACAGATGCTGACAGGAATTAAAGCTTGGCACTAACCTGTCTCATTTTACTGTCCAACAGGGCCAGACACAGGCAGAGAGGAAGAGAGAGTGATTAAGAGCAGCGAGACAGATTCATTCACTCACACTGTCGGCCACTATAGCCAGGACTTTATAGGGGCCTTTGTGAGGTTCGTGTGTCCCTTTGGTGGCACCCGACGCTTTAAGTGGTCTGACTCTGGCCGCTCTGTTGTGCTCCCTCCAGAGTAAACAGTAGGTGTGTTATAAATGTGCAAAGAGAGTCGAGTACCATCTCATCCAAAGTCATCTCGCTGTTTTATGGCCCACTACACAGTGCAGCGAGGCTAGCAGCGGGTGAGCTCGGGTATCATCTCTTCAAAGAAGGGTGCTCGGGGAGGGGGCTTTTGGCCAAGGCGGCTGGCATTTGTGCACGGATTAGCGCAGGCCTCGAGGTGGGGGCTGGGGCCAGCTGACCTAGGGCTCTTCTTTCTCTCCAAAAACAATAATAATCCCCTTCCAAGCACACTCCTACAAAAGGGCCTGTCTTCACTCACTTTGTGTGACCAGTCATGGTAGGGGCCCTTATTTTGAGTCCCTCACCTGTTTTGGGTGTCTCTCCCTGGGGAAAGTGTCAGGATGTCTGGGATGGTTGGCAATGCCAAGGGGGGCTTAGGCGGACCCTATTTTAGCTGGGAAAATCAGAAGGCCACATGGCAAGGCATGGTGAACCTTGCCTTTCAAGGAAGCCGCCCAGCTAAACTGCCGTCAGCACTATTTCAAAGGGCCCGTGTTGCCAGCTTTGCATGCTTGTAAGTGTGTTGCAGCATTTTTAATCACGAGTGGTGATGAGCGAGGGTAGCGGAAAAATTGTCACGCATTGGGCCCCCCCCTCGTCGTCTGCTGACCCCAGAGGCTGCCATACTGACACCCTCGTCACATACTCCATTTACAGGTTAGCTACCATATCCCTGGTGAGCTGACATCCTTGTTCATACTGCTAATTGAAAAGACTAAATGGCACTTAAACCACACTTCAGATTTAAACTTACAGTCTTATTACTTGTCATTACTACATTTTAGAAGCAGACTGTCTTACTGCTATATTTACAATTTTAGGGGCTATACGTGCAACTTTAGCGTCGTGTGTGTGCGTGTTGTGTATGTTGTGTACGTGACTACGACCAGGTTATTGTGGCCGAACCGTCTGTACAACCAGAGGTGTATTATATATCAGTACAGACACACTCTACTCCTTTGTTCAGCAAATATTCACGATTGTCACACAGAATTATTACAAAGTGTGGACAATGGAACAAAAAGCTATTGTCTCTGGCCAGTGCTGAGGATGTGCTGCTGGAAATATATATTACTTTAGAGAAATAATGCACTTTGCCGGGTCGGCCGTGTGCATCCGTACATGTAGAGACGCGTAAGTAACTGAGAGAGAAAGGAAGCCAGTGCACAGAGCAACTGCCACTGAATGATGTCAATGTAATCTCTCAATACTATCTTGTCTTCTCTCTTGCTCTAAGCTCTGATCCGTTTCCATTGATCAGAGGAAAAACCTGTTGCCCCTGACATTTGATTCTTCTATTGATCACTTCCTCCTTTATACAGTCAGGGGAAAGTACAGCGACTCAACACGGGGTTTAGGCAGGTCTCCTGTAATCGGACTGCTGATCTACAAAGACCACTTTCCTTATACCTCCCGCCGCACTTTTGGGATATAAAAGCGCAAACTGTGGCTTCTGTGGTTGACCAGCCAATATCAAGTGAAGTTTGGGAGTGTAAACAGGCTAAACATCCAACCTTGATTTGGTGAATCGACGCCTTATTTTGCTATTCTTTCAGAGACGGATTTAAACTTATGCTTCTTTGGGGGGGGCGGCACTGTACATTGTTGGAGCTGTAAAGTTATAATTAGGTGATTTTCCACTGAGACACAATGTGACCTTTCTGCAGTAATGAAAGTAAGTGGCAACCTCGGTCACATGAGCGGTGGCCATCTCCACATCCTGAGCCTGAGCGTGGCGTTGAGCCGCCGGCTTCATAGAGCTTACAGTGGACGCAGACCATGTGTCTCTCTTTCCATTTAGTCTTGGTGACACTTTTAAGTGCCGGACCACAAGACAGAGCTTAAGCGAAAAATGTTCTTCATATCTCTCGCGGCAAAATTTTGATTGTGGCAAAAAAAAAAATCAGTCGTTTGAGAGAGATCTGTGATAACACCAGACTTTAATCAAACTGTGACAATAGCTGCAGCGTGGCGATGACAGCCGCTATTAAAGAGGAGAGTCGTTCTTATTCTGGGAATGTGCTGAATACACAGAAGAGTGCATTAGAACCTCAGGCTTAGCCGAAGTCTGCATATTTGAGTTTTACACTCTTTTTACTCTGACCTGACACTGGTCATTCATTTATAGCCAAAGCTACATATTTTTGTAGTCTCTTATTCTCCAAGATGATATATTGGCATAAATTTTTCATCAGATAGTAATGCGATTACTCTGTCTTTCTGGCACTGAGGCTTTATCTGGCTGCATGCAGTCCGGGGGATTCTGTTACTGTGCCGGGATCCATACGGACTCTGACTCGGGCTTCAGGTGGCGACTGGATATATATGCATCTATAAATCCCGCTCTCCAATGGGAGAGTAATGGGAGGAATGAAGGTGGAATATATATATTTCACAGAGTTTGACGGAGGATTTAAAAGCGAAAGTTTGTCCAGAATTTCATCTATCAGAGCTGCTATCTGGCAGAGTGTTTATATCGCCGTACGACTGTGAGGGACGAGCACGCTTTGAAGCTCGACCCGACTCATCAGCGCTTGAGGAAAAATAAAAAATGAATAAAAAAACAATCAATAATACTTCAACCTCCAATCTTCATTATTCATTTGTCTGGCCTTTCTGGAGCAACAAACGAGCGACAAAGAGGACCGAGACAGAAAGGCCGGCCAGAATGCATCCAGCAGCAGTGGGGCGGCGGATAGGTGCCTCCCCGAGAGGAGCAGTCAAGGCTCTGGGTCTCAGGAGGCCCAGTCAGTGGCGATAGGGAGGGAGAGAAACCCAGCCAGACAAATCCATCGGAAGCATGTTTAATTGTCACTGAATTCCCTGCTGGCGTGACTTTAAAAAACCATCCACAGGAAGAGAGCTGAGATGTTCGGAAAACATTTAGCGGATCAATATGCCGGGGAGAGCTGAGACCGTGGCGGGCGTGTGCTCAGGGACCCGGGCCTGAGCCTCTCCGAGTGGAATACTGTTACATTTCTATTACTCAGACGGCGGGGATCAACCTATTCAGCATATTTCTGTCCCCAGCTCAACTGCACATTATTTACTGCTGTGTAGGTAGAGGGGGAGGACAGGGGGGCTGGAAACTGTTGTGTTGACCAGCGAGTCTCAGGCCGGTACAAGAAAAACACTCATTACCGAAGCAATCTGGTGGGAACTCGACGAAACAACTATCACGAGTGTGTGTGACGCCGCCGGAGTACGCAGCCTGCATTGATCGAATCACAAGAGGTTGTGTGTGTTTGTTTTTTCTTTTTAGAATCTGACAAACGTCCTGTATGTGTATGTGTGTGGGTGCAAGAATAATAAAAAAATGTTCTTACTCTTCTTACCTTCTTTGAGCATCCCCACTTTGAGGCATTTCATGAAGCGACAAGCCTGACATGATTTGCGTCTCCGTTTTGTGATCTCACATTCATTTGTGGCAGGACAGCTGTATTCTATGTTACCTGAGGAGCAGAACGAGAGGAGCACGTTAACACCCAGCAACACAATAAAAGTGCGAGCATTACTCCAAGCACCACAGTCAATCTAATAATAACCGGGCGCTGCAAATAAACACCAACGTCTGTGCTATCAGATGGTCTGTCATAAATCATCTTTTGCCAATCATGCACTTGTTAGAATCGTTTCCTATATCTGTATTTCTGTGGTGTGCAGGAGGCTCAGAGGTCCTCCAGCGAGAGGAGCAACTTCTAGAATTGGGGAGGAGGAGGTGGGGGTAAAAGGGGTAAAAGGGCAGAGGGTAGGGAGGGGGAGTGGAGGTACAGCTACAGTAGTCCTTCAGGACCGTTCAGTAGATGCCACTGTGGTCCAACACTAAATTGGCCTCATTAATTCTGCACGTGTCCCCTCCAGGCCCTGGGCGCAGGCGACGTCCCCCTGCGCTCAGAGGGGCCTGCCACCGCCTCAATAGCAGGCTAGAGAGCCAGACACGCTGCCCCGGACCACTTTACATAATACTCCTGCAGACCCAAACCTGTTGTTACCACTGTTGCCATTGTTGACTATTTACATAGCGTACAGGCAAGAGGCCTTATGCATTATTCAAGCGCGGCGTCTGATTCCAGGACGGAGCAATGAAAAAGAGTTTCATTGCCGCACAATAAAAGAGCCGGTTGGGCTGCTCTACTCTAGCATTAGCAATAGAAAGGGCAGGATGTGTGCGGCTGTTCCACCGCTTCTGCCTGATTCCCTACATTTTACTGTATTCAGGGGGTTTTCAATAAAGGGTTTGGGTGTAATGGTCGCTTCAAGCCCAGGAATTTGAATTATCCTCAATTTGAGCTTCCAAGCTTTTGACATTGGAATTTCTTTAAACTTTTCTTTTAACCTGCTGTCGTTGTCGTGACGTGAGTGATGTAAAAATGTAATCGTTATAATTCCCAAAACACATTTTTCCTCATCTACTAAAACACATGTAAATAATAACACACACACATATCGTACAAACATGCATTTAGCGTCCCGTTTAACAGATTTAAATATTTTCTTTCGTTCGCTGACTGACACACAAACATATTCCGTTTGCATCCCAGCATCCTGTAGTCGCTCCACAGCTCTGACCCTCACTCCGCACTTGTGCACAGGAAGCTGTGTAATATTCCACCGGCGTTCCTCCACTAGCCCTCCAACAGCCTTTGACAACTTATGCAATTATGTTAACATTATTGGACAGATCAAGTGGAGGGTCCCAAGATGTTATAAATAATTAGAAATTCCTCCTTATATCTGGGTTAGAAATCATTATGCTAATTCTCCTCATCTCTTCGGGATTGGGGTAAATAAAGGTGTGAGGGAAGCGGCTGATGAGCTCTGATTGTCTTTCCTCGCTCTGTTTTCTCTGTTGTCATAGCAGAACCAGACCATAATAATCCTATCCATTTCCCATAAGCTGGGTGGAGGCAATCAGTGCCACCCTGCGCAGGAGTTAATACTTCGGGGGTTCTTTTTTTTTTTGTTTGTGTTTCCATTATACACCAAACAATCAGCAATTTTGGCAAAAAAACTGCAAAATAAGTTGAATTCTGAAAACAAATCTGAAGAAATTTAAACTTTATTCACTTTATAAACTCCGGCAGCATTGCCCCTGCACATGTCTTCTATGCTGTGGATTTGTTTGCATGCCGTCACCCTGCACAGATGACCCATGTGTGAGGACACTTTGCTTACGGGGTTATTTTTTTCTCCTCCTCCTCCTCCTCCTCCTCTCGCTTCCCTTTTCCAGGGGTCCCAGGGACACGTGCACAAACCACACCTGGTGGCTAACTTAGGCCTTTGATATCACACAGTGCAGAAACAAAAACAAACAGCAGCTCCCACGCTGCCGTGCTACCGTGTCCACCTGTCCTGTCAAGCCCTCTGTTCGTCTGATGTTCTGTCAGAGGGGGCTTCTCGTAGCTCAATGCAGAGTGAGGGGCGGATTAACCAATTTTTCATCTCTACATTTGGTTTATATTTATAGCCGAGGGTGTTTTGGTGTCAGCATGCATGCGGTCCCGCTAAGCTTCGTGACACGTCTGATTCCTGCCGGCTGATGTAAAAATCGCTGCACGCTCGGACCTCTTTCGGCCTCTCGTGTTTATCGACGTGAAAGTAAAATTTGGATGAAATGTTAACGCTGCATCGTCCAAATATAAACTCAAGTTTGCAAACAAGAACAGTTAAATATGAGTTATTGTAATAACCGATGCTGTTAAAGATTCACTTCCATCAGGAACAGAGTAAAAAACATAGAAACTCTTGTTTTATATTAAACACAGAATGTACCTGGAATTTTCATGGTTAATTATCTATTGATCAATGTGAAATAAAATACATATGATTAATCAGATTTGTATATTTGGTTTAGACGTAATTACTGTAATGTAAGATGGAGCTAGAACGTTTGAACTTTTTCTAGTTTATTTTTGCAGCTGTCTTATATTATCTCTTTGCTCAAATTTTTACACTTCATTTACCTGAACTGGTTGCTCTAAAACAAGTCAAACAGAAACTAACCGAATGGAACTTATTTCAAAAAGGTTAAAGGTTAAATAAGTTAAAAGCAAACAGAAGTGTCCTGTACAGCAGTTAAACAAAGTGACGCAGTTCTAAATGGGACTTTCTGGTACATTCAGATATCGAGTTTAAAGGATCGCATGTTATAAATGTCATGCAACATCTTAAGAAATGTCCAGAAGTGACGTCCTGGCTGGTGCAGCAACAGTACGGCAAGTTTCACTCTCAGAAATGAAGCGCGCTGGCGGGAACCCCTTTAACCCGAAGGCCACGCTCGGGTTTATCCGTCTTTGGAGAGGTTATGGTATGGTTACCAATAACATTACAGAGTGAAGGGAGAAGAAAAAGATTTCCCTCCTTCTCCTCTTGATAAGTATCTGTCTCAATCTATTTTATGGCTTTTCAGGACCCATGCCAGGGCACAGAGGGGAAAGTCAGGTCTTGTAAGTAAATTACAGTAAAATGGCAGGTATTTCTCATCAAAATCTAAACTGACTTTTACAGGCTTACTGTCAAGGTCTATTACTTCATATAAAAGAGGGCCACTGAGTTCAGTTGGTTTTCAAGCAATTTTACACTTGGGTTCAAAATGGGAAGAAAACACGGTTCAATAAGACATTTATGTTTTTGATTGGTGGGGCACGTGAGGTGCAGGGATGGGGGGGATGATTAGGGGGCAATGAGAACAGGGGTATTTCTGGGATGGATGGAGATCCAGGTTGACATTAATTTGGGTCTGGCCTTGACTAATGCAACTATCTCCACGTATGAGTTCAAGGGGCTTTTCACTGGATGAATAGGTGACAGAAGATGGATTTGCCGTCTGCTTTTTGTTGAAAAGGTAGAAGCCTCGGCTGAAGGAGTGGAGGCCAGAGGGGGAAGTGAAGCAGATTTAAAGATAACAGAGTGCTCGTGTGTAAAATGTGTACAACTCGTTTAAAAATGTATTTATAAGAAGACTATATTTTAATGTGTTCAACGACCTATTTACTATCAAGAATAACACAAGAAAACACACGCAGAGTTACACAAGGTGAGCACAAGGTGATAAAGAAAATGTCATGTACATGGTTAACATTAACTTAGCATGTTTGCCCTAAGTGTTATAGAACAATGTGATAAAGGGCTGGGAAAGACAGCTCCTTTGTTTTCTTCTCATTAGAGAGGGCCGTCTCACACTCCACCCTTGACTGCCTCGTTATTCCTTTAATTAATCAGTTCTCATCAACGGCACCCTCTCGTTCTTTCAAGGGCTCTACATCCCGCTATTTACTGCCTCCATTTTCCTCCAGCAATCCTGCATGTGTTCCTTTTATCATTTCGGAAGGCTTTCACCTCCCCCCAAAAAAGTCCCTCCGTCCTCGTGCCTTCTCTGCCTGGGACCCCTGTCTGATTATTATGCCATTAAGCCTCTCCTCCTCTCCTCTGAAAGAGCAGCAGGGTCCCTCTCCAATCTAAAGAAGTCCTGGGTTTTTTTCCCCTCCTTTCCCTGAAATTACCCGGCGACGCGTGCCTGAGTTTCTAATTGGCATGCCCGTCCCTGGAGACGGCCCCCTCCCTTCTTCCTAATGAAAAGCCTCGGCCTTAATTACACTTTCCAAACGCTGATTGTTATTGACAAAACTCCTGTGGCTCGGACAAACGACGGCAGATTAGCTCCATTACAGGCAGCCCTCCAAGAAGAGAAAGAGAGGGATTTCAAATCGACAATGCAAAGTGAGGGGGGAAAAAGAGGAGCTTTCAGTTTTTTTTTTTTTTTCCATGTACCTTGCTCTTAATTGTTTGGGCCATTGCTCCACTTAAGATGTCTCTTTCTTTGTCGATGCCTCTTTACTGTTCCATTGTGTTGCCGTCAGTGTACTTTCAGTGAGGGGACAAAAGCCCAGTTATGTTACTTGAGAGAAAATGTTCATCTTTTGTCAATAGACAGGATTGCTGATGGCAGCATGAGTAAACATGAGGATTTGGCCTAATGCTTTTGTTTGCCTGCAAAAGGTACATAGACTGTCTAAAGCTGATAGGGCCGTAAGGTCCAAAATCAACACCTAGCATCAAGACAGACAGCCTGCTCTCTATATAATTCCTGCAATCATTTGCTGATGAAAAGTTACTGAAAACGCTGGATGAAAGATGTCATTTAGCTTAAAGATCAAATTCCTATTTTTTTCTTCCACTCTCAATCATCTCATTTTACCATGGCCAAGCCCTTTGGCTCCTTTTACCTATTTTATCTCGTTTTTTTCCACTGCATGTATTCTGCTACTAAGCCGGCAGAGCTTAGTCCTGGGCAGCTGTGCCTGTTGTGCAGATTTTTTTTTTTTTTCCGGGGCTCAACAATATCTTCGTCCTCCTGATTAATCTGGAGCAGAGCGCACAGTTTCACAGTGGGGGGCCTTTCATTGCCTCTCTAATGAGAAGCTGTGATACATCATGCCTTGCAGATAGCCAATCGCACCCTGGTCCCAAGGCAGGCACACACACACACACACACACACACTCACACACAAAACAGGACAAGAATAATAAAGCATGTTCTCTGAGCCCCCCAAGGCATCTGGGCAAACAGCCCCTGTACTCCACCAAATCTGACCTCTGAGCGATGATGTCGTGTCCACCATACTCCACCAACCATGACAGATGATGTCATCATAAGCTCACTGGGTGTCTGTCCCTTGTCAAAACATTCTGCTGGTTTTTGTTTTATTTAGGTTGATATATATATAATTTGTGAAATGCAGAGTTATTTGCTGACCATTAAATGCAAGTTTTTTTTAATTTATTTTATTTTACCCCATAGTAGTTACCCGCAGCACATTTTAATAAACTAACAACATTTTTTTTTTCTTGAGGCTGCTGGTCTCAGGAGGAAGAGAGAACATCTTCCACACTCCAGTGATTTTTTTACATAGCGAATTGCTCGGACTGAGTATGTTTCAGTGTTGTTTTGAGGCCAAAGGTGCCTTGTATGGAGGGTGTTCTTGTGTCTAGTGATGCGACGACATGGGATGAAATAACTTGTATTGAGTGTTTGTTGGGGGAAGGTGAGAGGAGAAAAATACCTTGTATTGTCCTTTTAAAAAAGGCTTTGCAGGCCTCACAAGAGGCCACCCCATAGTGATACCCCGAGGCTATATCTCCACAGACCAGGCACAGCCTCTTGGGGAGGGAGTTCAACATGTATTCGCACTTTATGGACGAGTCCTCCATGATGGTGCTGGAGCAGTCGTCATAGCGCTTGCGGCAGGTGCCGGCCCCGAGCCCGCTGGGGGTGAACATAGGCGGAGAGTCCAGGCCGTTCGAGTGGCTGTTCATGGCGCTGACATAGCCACCGCTGGCGTCTGAGTTGCCACTGGGGCTGTGGTGGCTGACCGTGTCGATGACCGAGGAGGGACTGGATGGCTCCGTCTTGATGTAAGACCCGCAGCTGGAGGGTAGATGCCGGTCATCAGCGGCCATCCTATTCAGCAGCCTGGGGAAGGTAC